ATATATATATATATATATATTTATTTATTTATTTATAGGTATAATATATATTTGTGTATATATACGTGCATGTGCATACGTGTACATCTCTAAGGATGTTATATTTTTCTGTTACATTATTTCTTATACTTATATAATAATTTATAAGTGGTTAATATTTAAGAAAATTATAAATGAGATGAAGAAAAAATAAATGAGATATTTAGAGTTGTAGTAATTATCCATCTATAGAACTCATGATTTACATCTTGAAATTACAAGAAATGGTAATTTTAGCATATATTAAGGAAAAAAAATAAAGATTGTGGAGAATTGATTTTATATTAGAAAGGTATTTAAAATAGATTTCATTTGTTTTAAAAAAAAAACACAATAGATTTTATTTATATTTTACAAAGGTATATGAGAAGATCGAATTAAAGAAAAAAAATTGCCTATAATTTCTTATTAAATTAAAAAAAATGAATTAATTATAAATCATTTGATTGACCAAGTGTACATACTTAAGACTTTATGTTTGAAAGGTGTGAAATGTATGATTAAAGACTATTTAGGATTGGTAAACCTCTAACAAGTAAGACTCCTTCATGTGTTGTCAAACATGACCATTGAAGTACCTTGCAGAAAGAGTAGTGGTACTAATACTCTATTTTATTTCAATTCTAATCTCATAAAAAAAGAAAGGTATATTTCTATAAAATATGAAAACCATATTTTTAACTTATTTGAACTTTTATTTCTATTCTTAGTATTTATTTATAACATTTTAAATTTTAAAAATATTTTTAAAATTATCAAATTTAATTATAAGTATTTTTTAATTAGCATTATTATATTATTATTATAAATGCAATTTTTAACATAAAATGTAATAACTTCAAACAAAACATTTTAGAATAAAAGAGTAGAACAAATAAAATAAATCACATTGAATTACTGGGATTATTAATTTTTATAATCATTTGTAATTAAAATTTTGACTTCCTCGTGGGATGTTCAGATATTTTTACAAATTTAATTTTAAGTTAATTATAAAATTAATTTTTGATGAGATTTAATCGCACTTAAAACTTTTTATCCTACTTTAAAAGCCTAAATCTAAAGTTTAGTATATATATAACTGACAAAGTCATATTATACTTATTAAATATTAGTATTAATCTAATAATAATATATTTTAATTATTTTTCATCTCAAAAGTCATTAAATTTTTCTACTAATACTATGTACTTGAAAAAAATGTATGAGTAGATTTTTTCCATAAGAAAAAAATTATGTAAATTAAAATTAACTTATATATTAGCTAATTTATAAAAAATTATTAATTTCTCCTAATTTTTATTTTTAATTTAGAAAAAATTGTTTTATTTTTCTTCTTTGATAAATGATTTTAGAAAAATTTATATAAACATGTGAGTGTTACTCAGATAATGTTCCAACATCCAACTACCCGCATCTCCACAAAAATGGCGCCAGGTAGGGACGTAACAGCTTCCACTCCAACAAACCCTACCGCTACATCCTCACACGCCGCAGCTACCATTTCCTGTTGAGTAAATTTTCCGGTGGCTCACCGATGAAGTTCCTATACAACTCCAGTGAGTATGCAAATCTTGAAAATCCACAATTTCAGATCCCCAATTGGCTAAGAACCAACTTTTCCAACCGGCACGTGCGACTCCGTCACTTCGGATTTCTGAGCATGACCAACTGCTGTTGACATGCGAATTAGGGTTTTTTGTTTACAATTCCAGAGATTCAAAAGAGCTATGATCGCATACCTCATAGTTCTGCGGGTGGAGAGTTTGATATCACCTTATTCTTAGTATTAGGATGTAGATACTCATGCTATGCTATGTCAGTGGTGCATCACTTAGATAGTTAGTGGATAAGTTTTATGATTGGAATTAGGAGATTTTATGCGGAGTCACTAGCATGTTTCTTTCTTGAAATGTTTCCTAACTGCTGCACCAATTTCATCATGTTTACTTCAAATCTTACACAATGAATTATGAGATAAACAAATTGAATTTTACCATGAATGTGGCCCATCGAAGTTGGTAATTTTTTTTGAAGTTTGTAAATCTTTTGAGCTTATTTTGTTGGCTTTTTGGATCATTAGAATATAGTTTTAAAGTTATTAATGGTACAGTTAATTGCTTCTTTTACTTTGGGAACATAACTTCCACAAGAATTTAGATTATTTAGTTATTGGCATTGTCTACTACCTTAATGACTTTTAGAGAAGAATTTGCACCGATTGAATTGAATGTCATATATTGGGTTTGCCCCATTTTGGGATTGGATTCTGTCATGATTATTATTTCCTAAGTTTTGCCTGTGGAAGAACATGGATGGATGTAGTCTGTCATAAGGTCTCTATAAAAGGAAAAGAAAATATATATAAAGACCTGTTTGGACAAACTTTTCTTGAAGGACTTATGAGAAAAAAAGAAAAAGAAAATGAAATAAACTTCTTCATAAGCTAAAACTAACTTATATACAAACTAATTTATAATTTTTTTAGAGAACCTATATGTGAAAGATTCTACAAATTAGTTTATAGAATTTTTTTTTTCATTTTTATCCTTATTTATTTCTCCTAGAAGTATTTTTGAAAAAATTTATCCAAATAGGATGTAAGTTTTCTTACAGTTAAAATTATCACATACGTAAACTAATTTTAAAAAACTCTCATATTAGCTCCTCCAAAATATGTTTTTATAAGCTAATTTTAAGTTATAAAATAGCTATTTTCATGTTTTTCTTCTTTTTTTCCCAAGGGTAATTATGAAGAAATTTATTCAATCAGACCTATAGATACGGTGATTAATCCATACTCACCTCCTAATAAGGTAAAGAAACTGTAAAAGTTATAATTGAATTCAACTATATGATCATGTTCTGTAGGGAAGGAAGAAGAAATGCATAAATTCAAAGGTCAACTATGTTATGGCATTCCCGCTTATTTATACCGAACAATAATTGCCTTGTAGAACATATAGAAAGATCTGCCATGTGGAGATTTAGATATTCAAGAATTCCAACATAGAGCCCAAATGTTGAGATTAGACATTTGCTCATAAAGATATTTCTAAATTATTACAATTTTGCTACAAATGAAAATCGGAGAATGTTAGCAACTGGTGTTGTTTTAAAAATAGTATTAATTGGTAAATTGAGGATAAAAAAGGATTATCAATATACCATAGTTTACTATGCTCATAATTTCTTTCTTTTTTATTGTCTTCAGTTACATCATTATCATTATGTTTTCATGTCTCAGTTTGTTTGGTTAAGCTTTTAAGATGAGGAGCAGGATTTAATGTTGTTGGAACTCACAGCTAAATAAACTCACAACCCTCACCTTAGAGAAACTCCTCAGCATGATCTATAGCACAATTAAATAGAGCCAGAGGCCTGCGAGACTTTCGACTAGCATAGACAGCTGTGCATAGGTACTTTGTCTCTATTTTTTTTCCCTCTTCTTTGCTGTTTTCTTTCTTCTCTGCTGTGTTTTTTTTTTTTTTTTTTTTGTTGGTTGTTTGTTTT